TATTTTTAGTAACTATGGTAACACCGTTCATTGAAATCAAAAACCGATGCACTATTCTATGTATCTTAGTATAGTCTACTTGTGTGCCAAGTTATATTGAAATCGGACCAAAACTGTAGAAGGAGTAGCGTTTTAAAGGAATTTCACAGAAAATTCTATTTTTAGTAACCATGGCAACACCGTTCATTGAAATCAAAAACCGATGCACTATTCTATGTATCTTAGTATAGTCTACTTTTGTGACAAGTTATATTGAAATCAGACCAAAATTGAGGAAGGAGTAGCGTTTTAAAGGAATTTCACAGAAAATTCTATTTTTAGTAACCATGGCAACACTGTTCATCGAAATCAAAAACCGATGCACTATTCTATGTATCTTAGTGTAGTCTACTTGTGTGCCAAGTTATATTGAAATCAGACCAAAATTGTAGAAGGAGTAGCGTTTTAAAGGAATTTCACAGAAAATTCTATTTTTAGTAACCATGGCAACACCGTTCATCGAAATCAAAAACCGATGCACTATTCTATGTATCTTAGTGTAGTCTACTTGTGTGCCAAGTAATATTGAAATCAGACTAAAATTGTAGGAGGAGTAGCGTTTTTAAAAATTGTTTACAGACAGATGGACAGACAGACAGACGGACAGACAGACAGACGGATGGACGCCGGACGCATTACTATCGCATAAGCTCTTCTGGTCTCTGACCAGTAGAGCTAAAAAACAAACATCTGACCTTGATCAAGTTTAAGCAGCCTCTCTGCCATTTCCTCCCTGGACCCTGATGAATTCTTCCCCCTTTCTTTAAGTTCCAGAGATAACTGATCCTCTGACATCTCACTTGGCTTCAAACAAGGCTTGTTATCAATGATTTCCTAAAACAGAAAAGCAAGTTACTATCATTATTAAAACAAATAACCAGAAGTCTCTGTCGAGACTGTTGCTCTACTGGTTTGTACTGATCAAAAACCGATGCACAGAATTATGTATCTTAGTGTAGTGTACTTGTGTGATAAGTTATATTGAAATCAGACCAAAACTGTAGAAGGAGTAGCATTTTAAAGGAATTCCACAGAAAATTCTACTTTTAGTAACCATGGCAACACCGTTCATTGAAATCAAAAACCGATGCACTATTACACTGTAAATAAGTGTAGTTTACTTGTGTGCCAAGTGATAATGAAATCAGACCAAAACTGTAGAAGGAGTAGCGTTTTAAAGGAATTTCTCAGAAAATTCTATTTTTAGTAACCATTGCAACACCGCTCATTGAAATCAAAAACCGATGCACTATTTTATGTATCTTAGTGTAGTCTACTTGTGTGCCAAGTGATATTGAAATGAGACTAAAACTGTAGAAGAACTGGTGTTTTAAAGGAATTTCAAAGAAAATTCTATTTTTAGTAACCATGGCAACATCGTTCATTGAAATCAAAAACCGATGCACCATTTTATGTATCTTAGTGTAGTCTACTTGTGTGCCAAGTGATATTGAAATGAGACTAAAACTGTAGAAGGAGTAGCGATTTAAAGGAATTTCTCAGAAAATTCTATTTTTAGTAACCATGGCAACACGGCTCACCAAAATCAAAAACCGATGCATTATTTTATGCATCTTAGTGTAGTCTACTTGTGTGCCAAGTGATATTGAAATGAGACTAAAACTGTAGAAGGAGTAGCGTTTTAAAGGAATTTCACAAAAAATTCTATTTTTAGTAGCCATGGCAACATCGTTCATCAAAATCAAAAACCGATGCACTATTTTATGTATCTTAGTGTAGTCTACTTGTGTGCCAAGTTATATTGAAATCAAACCAAAAATGTAGAAGGAGTAGCGTTTTAAAGGAATTTCTCAAAAAATTCTATTTTTAGTAACCATGGCAACACCGTTCATCAAAATCAAAAACCGATGCACTATTTTATGTATCTTAGTGTAGTCTACTTATGTGCCAAGTTATATTGAAATCAGACTAAAATTGTAGGAGGAGTAGCGTTTTGAAAAATTGTTTACAGACAGACGGACAGACAGACAGACAGACAGACAGACAGACAGACGGATGGACGCCGGACGCATTACTATCGCATAAGCTCTTCTGGTCTCTGACCAGTAGAGCTAAAAACAATCTAAAAAAGAACAGCAACAAGTTCACAGCAATTTAAGCTAGAGAAAATGTGGGCTACCTACTTTGATAGTAAGGATGACTTTGACCATGGCTTCTTTACTCTTAACCATTCCAAATTTGTCCAGGAATTCTATGATAGTACCCATTTTCAAGCGTCTCAAATTCAGCTTCTGTAAAAACTTATCTGCGGTCTTCAGCAGCTTTGAGAACATCCCTATAACAAATGATAATGTGGATTTTAAAAAAGATTCTATACCAGTTATTTAATGTAAGTACTGAATAGAAAATTAATATTAGTTAATAACATATAACCTGTGTTGCCAATGTTAAAATAGGATTTACATCAAAAACATATCCATTAGCTTTATGTTTCATTTAAATTCTGGGAAATCTAATGGTATTTTTTCTTAACCTAGTGATAGATATTAAATTATAAAATATCAAATTATAAGTAATTAATTTAATAAGTACCCAATTTACTATATACTTGTATAACCTGGGTTGGAACATATTTGAAGTTTATGAAGTATGAACTACTCCAACCTAAGTTATAAAGTATAACTCAAGTTGCTACATGTATTGAAGTGTATACTGCTCCATCTTAAGTAATACAGAGCAGTTAAAGTGGCTATTTAATTCATTTATTCATTAATTACATCTGTAATGTGTATACAGGAATGATTTTAATTGGCATCAAATGGCAATGTTTTTTTTTCCCTTCTGACCTTTAACAAAGCCCTTTGCCCCTGGTGCCGGTGTGGTAGTGGTGGTTGTGGTGGTGGTGGTAGTGGTAGTCAGAGCGGTGGTTCCCATTATAGCGGCACACTGGTCATCCTCTGGTTCATCCATACCTTGATCTGCTGCAGCTTGATTACTCTTCACTTTATTATAGGCACTGTCTGGATCAGCTATATATATACAGTTAAATCATAATAAACACAAATTCTGATGCGATGAAAAACATTTTGAAAATAGATCACGAAAATAAATTTTTTATTATTAAAATGTACTTTTGGTATAACAGAAATATACTACCTGTACTTTTGGTATAACATATATATATTTAAAATTAGTATTCAAAAAATTTATTAAAAGAATTTTTAATTTCTGTCAATTCTTTTAAACTTTAGAGAAAAAAATTGACCTTTCCTTGACAAAAACAGCATGAAGGGTATAAAAGTTTGGATCATACAAATAACAAAAAAGAGTTAATACACTGCATATTGCAAGTATTATACAGGAAAATACAAGTCATCCTAGAAAATATAAAAGTGCAGATACAGCTCTAGACTTCTTTGAACTCTCTCTATTCAATAACATTTTACACAGAGATATATTTACATTTGATGCTTTTTGTGTCGTCCGGATCAGCACTTTCTGGGGGATTAGCTGGAGGAACAGCCAGCTTTGTGTTGTTGAGAGTCGGAGTGTTATTTTGGGGGGCCTGTCCCCCTAATCCAACAATGACACCAGCTGCTATTGTTTCAAACTACAAAAACAGTTTTATTGTTTTCACTTGCAATTTTTAAAACATGTAAGCTTAATGTTGAATTCTTTACATGCTGTTTTGCCCAAAACATTTTCTTCCAAGCAACATAAACATATATTTTGAAAAAAAACTATACAAAAACAATAAACACAGCATGAATGAATGTGTGAACATGTACCTTCCAAACCAATTTATAATCATCACACTGTTGAATCCAGACAGGCATAGTCGGGAATATTGATTCCAGAAACTTTGTGGGGTCAACATAGTCTGTAGCACCATTCTTCTTCATAGCAAGGTGAACATGATTAATACATGGAGACTTCACGACTGTTCCAATGATCTGCCCTGCTGCAACCTGTAATGGTTCAAGATAAATCATAATCCATAAAAAGAATTTCAACTTTATTGAATAAAGTAAGAGTGGTACAAATCTTAAATTTTAGATGCAAAATAAGCAGCCAAACCAAGGAATAAATAACATTGGAAGATGATAATAAAAATACATTGTAATACCATATAAAGGGTATTTTCTGCGGTTGGAAATTTTTGCGATTTAACCTCTAAAAGGTATCAAATTAATTTTTGCATTTTCAATTTCTGCGGTTGCACTCTACCGCAAAAAAAATATATTTACAGGGTACAGTAGAGGATCATCAAACTCTAGACCCAATTGAAAATTAATTATTGTTGTAACAGTACTAGTCCACTCAAACAACAATTAAAATCTTTATTCTAGCTAACACCACAGACATTTATTTAACATGATCTATCTAAATATTTTAATAAATATATAGATACAGCAAAACTCGGTTATAACGAAGTCACAGGGACCTATGAAATTACTTCGCTATATCCGTAATTCGTTATAACCGTATAAGAAATTCATTTAATTTATATAGCTTGGGATCCAAGATGACTTTGCTATATCCGTAAATTCGCAATATCCGTGTTCGTACTAAACTAGTTTTGCTGTAGATCTAAATGATGATTTACGTCTCCAAGCCATAATCTAAAATACACTTAAACATAATTGCCATCAAAATTTAATCGGGATTTTCATTTTAAAACAATGAGTTGAATAATCAACCACCCCAAAAAATCACACAATGTCGTGTCACGTGCATTGAGGCGTAACTAATACGGTTAGTCGTCGGATTTGAATGAAATTCACGAGACAAACAAGCCATATTGTATACACAAGCATTTTAATTTAATCAGTAATTATTTTAAAGATAAAGATTGAAAAGTGGAAAATAAGGAAGAAAAACTGTCATATTTTGTTTGCGGCTATCGGAGTTTCGATGTCGCCCGAATTTTCTTGCTAACGAAGACATGTCCACGCACGAGTCTGCAGACGCACCACTAATCATACATTCATGCATAAAATACCTGAGGCCATATGAAAAATATTTTACGATTGTAATTTTTGCGGATTTATCCTATCCGCAAAAATTGGACAGCCGCAGAAACGGTATATACAAATCTACTTGTGCCTTTCAGAGTGAATTAAAGTCACATTAAAATGCAGCTGCTTTTCTCTGTCTCTTACCGTACTTCCCACTGTTGTCTGTATGGTAGAGTTAGGCTCTATATTGGTGATGAATACATTCATTCCTGCCATTGATCCTGTTGTGATTGCTATAATAACTGAGTTGTCATCATATGCATCTCTCTTAATGGTACCAGCAAATGGTGCAACAAGCTATAAACAAGCAACATTCTGTTACATCTTGAGACATTGCACAAAGAAACATACCCACCTACTTCCTGACAATACCTTTCTGTTAGACATTAAATTTCATGAAAATGTGTATGCTTTTCAATTTATATTCATCTACATTGTACATCCAGAATATCATTTTCAAAAGTCTGATCATCATTTCACAAATAAATAAAAATAGCATATACCATGTCCCCTTTCTCTGCCTGCACATCTACTCCTTTATGTTTATATTCTGGGTCACCATTATCTAATTCTGAAGGGTACAGTCCTTTACCACCACAACCTTTGCCTTTCAACCTCTTTATTCTTGGAAAGTTTTTGTGTGCTTTTGGTCCAAATATTGAGTCAATAATAGCTCTGGCTGTTTGATACCTGTAAAAGGAAAGAATTTTATAACTACATCTTAGGCTGTCTTTAAAAAATTCTTTGATTGCTTCTCCCATTCACTGACTGCATATTAAAATGGTCCATTTAAAAACTTCTTTTCAATCTAGAACACATTTTTTTCTTCTTTTTATTCTTCTCATCCTCTCAACGAATATGTTCAAAATTTTCTGGGAAAAAAATATTGTCCCACCTACTTACCGACCCAATAATTTTACCCTGAGTTGGGAGAGGGCAAACAAACATTTTAAAGATGGCCTTAGGTCTCCTTAATATATTAATAATAATATTTACTTGATCACCATTTTTACAGTAGAGGAAACTACATATATGTGTATATCAGATATGTAATGTGGACATCACATTATTTTAAATTCACAAAAAACCTCATTTATATATACAAGTATTATGATCATACCCCTCTTTTAAAATGGTATATGCCTCTTTGACATTCTTTATCAAGTTGAAGACTTTAGAATATTTTGCTACAAAGGCATCTGCCATGCCCATCAAGCCCTGAAATGGTGTCATTAGTTCATCTTTGATGGGCATCAGCACATCTACTATTTCTTGTCTCAACTGCATCTGTAAAAAAATATAATTATTACATATACACCAAAAATACTGATACATATTCAATTTTTTTTTTGGTTAAAGAATCCTTGCTTTCTGCATAATTTTCTCCTCAAGTACACATTGCAGTAAATAAATGAAAAAGAGCTAGATTTCTTTTATGTGAGAATGGGAATAGTCCGATAGATATAATTTTAAGACACTTGCACATATATACATACTGTAGTTATTTTCCCATTGCTTATTTTTAAGATCGGGTCTTCTTCCTTTGGTATAATTTCATTGACCCAGGCAGTTCCTGCATCCTTTAAACTTGTGAAAGCTTGTTTAGCAAGTTCTGTGTACTCCACTATTAAGCCCTGCACATCAAACCAGTATGGCTTCTCATCTGCATAGAAATTTTTTGAGAGAATTAAAACTGACTACCAGGCAAGCTGCAGAACACTCTATTATTTTAAGAGTCTCTGAGACAGAGTGTCTGTAAGCATTAAAACTACATGTATGTATACATATATTTTGTTGGGGAAAAAAATGTAGGTTTATCCAAACACTTTCAGTCAAATATAGGTCATGTGATTACCTCTTAAGAAGAAGCATGCTTCCTGTGTCTTATTTTTTGCCTCCAAAAGTGCCATGATTGCCTGGTATATCCTGTAAAATTAAAGTACAAGTCCCTTCACAAATAAATCAAATGTATATAGCATGTTAGAATCAAGAACAAAATCAAAATTTCTTAAAAAGAGAAGGTAGTATGGGTTTCAATAAGATACTACTTACGACATAACTCCCTTGCCAATGTTCATAATAGCATTCTTGGGGTCTTTAGTTATGACCGAGAAACCATCAATAATATCCTTTATAGATTCATAGATGATTTTTCCTTGTTGTGGAATAATAACTTTGATTGTTTGTTCAACTTGCTGTGAAAAAAAATATATCAACATTAAATTTAAATGAATGAATTAAAGCCTTAATTGGCTTTTGAAATAAAATTTTGGATTTTTTTAATTTTTCAAGTATTTTCAAAATTATTGAACTTACATTGACGAACCCCATAACATCTGCTTTGATGTCATTGAAAAGCTTGGCAACTTTATGAACGAAATGAACCATGGGTCTGAATGGAGGAGGGAAGACCTCTTCATCATACTTTGCTAGTTTCTGCATGGCTGTCACTGTAACATTTCTCAGCTGCAAGACCTGTGAAAAACAGACAAATACTGATTAACTTGCAGAAACATGTGAAAAGCATTGATTTTCTGGAATGAAATTAAAGGGAACACCATCAAAATACAACATAGGTCAATTTTTCATCTGAAGGCCAAAGGTCAATTTACATGTGCATCTTTTAAAAACAGTACAATCTTTTTATCTTTTAGCGTAGGAGAAAAGAGATTCATATAATCAGAACATCTCTATGGATGCTTTACTATCTACTACATAAGAAAGAAAACTGATTCATTCTTATACAGTTGGACTTAAAACTTACTAAAACACATGCCACATGATTAAACAAGATTTAATCTTACCCTCCAATGATGGAAAACACAACAACATATAATATCTTAATGTTCTAAACAAGGGTTAAATTAGTATAGTTGGAATGTTTTCTTCAAGAAGGGCAATTACAACAAAAACATATCTTTTTTTCTTCAGTGAAGGAAAGACTAACACAACCATTATCAAGCATTGCATATTTCTTACCTTCTTTGGTAATTCAGAAATGGCTGTGACCAATTCATCAATGTAATCTTTGATGCTGATTTTTCCTTTCACAAGATTTTTGAACAATTCGACACCATCTTTAATCCCTGCAACTACTTGTTTTATTTTTTTGGAGAAGCTTTTGGCTAGTTTAATTGCTTTTTTCATTTCATTTCCCTGCAGAAAAAAGGTAATCCATTTCAAATTTTGCATTATCTTGTTCAGATGTTCAGATGGCCACAAACATCAAAGATGAAACAACCAAATACATAAAAGATACATAAGTCATTCAAATTAAAATACATGAACATGTATAACATGATACAAAATTCTGCATGGCATTATATTATTATTTTGTCATTTAAGTCTTCTTTACCTGCAAAATGTTGATGTTGTACTCTGTACCTCCTTTAAAACAAATTCTTGCAACAAAGAAATCCAAATTTACATTCATAAATCCCAAATGGACTCTAGCATAAGCTTCATCATGGACGCGGATCTTCACATGACCACTTGTTGGTGCTAAGAATAAATATGCATCACTTCTATTATCATCCAATAAAATATTTTCAAAAACATTTATTTGTACAATGTACTCAGTAACTGAAACTAATTTTTATTTGATATCCTCCTTCCCAGTTCTTTTGCATAATTTCAGTAACTTCAATTACAAACTAAATGCAAACTTAACTTCTTAGATCGATATGCCTAACACCAGAATTTTGATAAACAGGATTATTAACAACCAAAATACCTAACTCATTTTTACCTTTGTTTACATGGAACAAAAATATATTTAGTATATTTTATACCAATGGACAAATCCAAAAGGTTCATCATGATGACTCCAAACGAGGCTCCAATATCTGTTGAACCTAGCAGTTTTCTCCAGTCAACACTTGGAGCTTCCAGTCTGAAGTATAGTCCATCCCAAATGCTTCTTTTGGAACGTCTAGCATTGTGCTCAGCAAGGTCCATAACTCCCATTCCACTGTCATAAGGGTCCTCAACATACGTTGTGTTGCCACCATGAGAAATTCTAAACAGATCGATTAACAAATAAAGGTCAGAAGATCTGTAATTTCTAATTTCAACAAAATTAATGAGTTAAACCAATGAAAGAATGATTATCATTCTTTGATAAATTCAAATTACATAAAAAAAATGAAAGACAAGATCCAAATTTATGCAAAATGGAGAAAATCTGTAGAATAAGAAGTTATAATTCTGAACCTGTTGTCTAGAGGAGCAATCATTTTTCCTTTGGGATGAGCCATGTACAGCAAAGAGGCATCGTATCTAACAGTTTGATCTTCATCATACACAGCAGCATACAGTAAAGTCTCGGCAGCCTATCAATACATTTATGAAGAAAAATCATTTACCAACACGCTTTACCTACGATATTTCTCAACATCAGCAATATATCACTACAAGTTTGCAAAGAACAATGGCCTATCAGTTAATATAATCACATTCTTTACATTATAGTTTTGAAAACAACACAGTAATAAAGACTCTAGGCAAGAAAAGAATCAGAAAAATGCAGAAAAGAAACTGAGAATTGTCCAGACTTACATGGTCATGTTCATATTTCCTCAGGGCATGGCATCCAGCTCTCTTGACCCAAGGGGAGTTTGTACTGTTGATATGAGAGACAATGTAATCATATGAGTGGTCAAGTCGAGCGTTGCCTAATGTCTCAAGAAGTACAACCCTCTGATGGTCATGTTTCTCCATGTCAAAAGGGTCCATTGTTTCTCTCCTTTTTCTGAACAGCCAAGGATCTGGGGGAATAATATGTATACTGATTGTTTTTTTTTTTTAAGTTTTAATAATACATTTCCAACTTTCAAATTCATGACTGTTATAAAAGATTAAATGTATAAAGTTCCTTAACAAAAATGCATGTTGTTTTGCATTACATGACTGTTCATGTGCAATATCATTCCTTATCAGTCATTGTGATGTATTAAGAAATATAAATCATTAATGATTTCAATACTTCTTTTCTCTTACCATGATATCCTAGCACCTCGTGTATTTTGTCAATGTTTCTTCGTGCCCTCTCTGGATTACCATGCTTATGAAGTTTGTGGCTAACAGAGCCTAGGGCTAGCATGCATCTACTGTGGGTGTCTAAGACATAAAACTCTGCAGGAAACTTTTCCCTGTGAAATACTGCATCTTCTAATGTTTTCAGGAAAAACTGAAGAAAAGAATAAAAATGCATCATGATATTGGAACGATTTTCAAGAGATCTGAGCTACATGTATTTAAAAATGTATATACTTATCAGAAAAATCAGTCAACAAACAAAAATAATAGATTATCAAGAAATTTACCTCATGTGGGGGTTTGTCATTGGAGACAATGTGAGTTAACACCCTTTTGACATAATCATGATTTGGTTTAGGACTCAAAAATATCTTTTGTGCCAAAAGATTTTCAGACAATTCTGTAGCCAGGACTCCGTAAGCATCTATCATATTTTCTGTGGCTATTCTGTGTTTTGCCAATCTAAACACACACAAAAAAATCTTTACAGTATTGGTACTCTAAACAATCAGTTTAAAACTCTTCATCGTCAAATGCAGCATAGAACGTAGTAAAGAATAGAAGTCATTTAGGAACAATTGCAGACTAAACAAAAAATGTTCCCTGCACTCAAAATGTTCTTACGTGGGTTTTAGTCTCTCAAAATAAAAATTGGCAATTTTGATGATTTCTTCATCTGGAAGGATCTCTAAAACATCCACAAGTTTTCTGAAGCAGACACTTAGGGCTGGTGATCCTGTCAATGTAAAAATTAAATAATATAATTAACAATGACACCTTAACTATGTTAAGATGACTTATCATATAAAGATCATCCTAAAGAATATTTTCCACCTCTACTTTTTATATCATACCTTGATCTGGTTGGTTCTCCATACATGTGAGATTTCCAACAATTTCTTTTCTAGCTTCAGTAACATTGAGATACTTTCGCCTTGGTTTTATCTGTATGAAAAGCAAAGTGTGTAAAAAAAAAATGAAATTGGCATAAAACATAAACCCCACTTTAGAAATTTGAAGATGGAGATGCATTCACATGTAAATATGAATTGCAATTTTACAGCAAAATTATCCAATCTTTATTTTTTCAGCGAAAAAGATGACTTTTTTTTTTATGTAAAGTGGATATGAAATCTTACATCTCCGATTTGTATAGATGCTGTCAGCATGTTCTTATTAGGCTTCATCCATTCTCTTCTGTCCACATGCCTTGTGAGGAAACGAAGCTTGCCTTGACTAACATATGCCATCTCAGGGTATGCTATTAAAAATACAATCAGGTATTTAGTTACTTAATTAACAGTGCATAAAGAACTAAAATTCCAATAAAGTGTGCATAAATATAGTTTCAGTTATTGATAGAAAGAGCAAACATCTAAATTTGTCTTACCCATGGTGCTAAACTCGTTGACTGCTTTGATTTTTCTCATACCAACATGAGGATCAAACCTTTATTTAAATACAAAAACATGATATAGTCATATATTTATTTATTCTTTCAAGACATCAAAAAGCAAACATATGACTTTTTTTTTTATCAAATGCAGTCCATCATAGTTAATTCTCTCCTTGCAAGGCAACTGGTAAATGTAGTCATTGTCACAAATAATGTGACATTAATGTAACAAGACTTTTCATTTGAATGTCTTTTTGTGACAGTTGTGCACTACCAAAATTGTACAATGGTGTGCAAAATTTGTTTTTCTTCTTATTAAAGTGAAAGTAGTCATTTGGAAGAAGCTATTTAGTCAAAAGTGTTTCTGTCAAAGAGTACTTGGATGAGATTGGAGGAAGGGGTTCAATTTTATCAAGATTTTCATTGACAAGTATTTGATATCCTTATAAGAAATACTTGATTTGCTTACCCTGGTGGAGTAGTGGGAGATTTAAAACTCTCATCTATAAGGATACTGTGGATAGTCCCCAAGTAGTCTTGATAATGCATTGTCTGTTGTTAGGAAAAAAAATTAAAGATGTAGTTTATATAGTATACAGTAGTGGCTTTACATCAGTGTTTGACAAGAAGAGAGTGTATTAAGTACAAGGTAATTCAGGGCATACTTAAAAAGCTAGGTTAGTCTTAACAAACTGATCTCCAATCTATTTCTCACCAAAACTTTTAACTGCAGTATATGCTGCACAATGCATTTTTTTTCTTATGACTGCTTCACATCAATAAATCTGCTATATCTCATATTTTACTGCATTTTAATGCCAGAGGAAGTCTGACTCAAGACAACATTTTTCAGCTACAGGTTTCTTATTAGAGACTGTAGTAGTATAACTACCTATTTTTTCTCAACTCAGTAAAGAATTAAACTGTATTTTTCCCCCTGTGTAATTGTTATTATTTACCTTGCTGTAATTTGCCTTTGCATACTGCACTGGATGGCCATGACGAATTTTGGTGAATTTCAAGCCATCGTGAGAAGGAGATACAGTATATGTTGAATTGTGTTCACCTTTATAAACAAAAAAGGTAAGGAATTGTTTAGTTGTAATGATTACACAATTAATCTTAGAGGACTGCTTTAATCATTTGATGAATGTTCACTCAAAACCAGTTCTTTCTGCTTTGTGTCTGACTTCATGTAATTGACAAAAAAATCAACTGTGCATATCTTGTAATCTAAAGATATAAACCCACCTTCATGACCATTTTCAGTAACATGATAGGTAAATCCCTCATTTCCAACTTTTCCTGGTACCTATACATGGGATATGGCATAGACAATGTAAAACAGATGATAATACATGTATTTTATTTATTTTTTTCTTTATCTTTATCATGGAAAAACATTTCCTACATGACTTAATAACATTTGATATTAATATGAAAATACACTAAATGAAAGTTAGGTAACTGCATGTTTTGCAGTCTTCGTTTGATTATAAACATGTTGCTGGCATTTACCTCCCCTTGCTCGTGCAGTCTTGAAGCAAAGAGGGCTGCGAAGCCTTTCTTGGAGACGATGACTTCATCCTCCTCCCCAGCTGCATGGTAAACATGAGTTATCACTCCTTGGGCAGAAATCACAAATGAGAACCTGAAAAGCGATGGTACTAGTACTACCAGAAATTATTAAATGCACATGTATGTATCAGGGGAGGAGAAAAATTCCATCAACCAGCCTGAGATTAGAACCCAGTCATGCCCTGAATCTCCTAGATTAAGGGCAATACTGAGATATTTGGCCACTGGCAATTGAACTTGTCTGACCACCACATTCCTCCCTCATTAAATATCTCTGCCCCAGGTTTTTCCCAAGCAGGTCTTTCTCCTATCACTTCAATGCTTCCAGCATGCCCTGGACATGGCACCACAAGAAAGGAGAAAATATTGCAATGGAAAATCCTCGCCCTCTGAATCTCCATTTAGGTGCTCTATCGACAGAGCTATATTGCTACTAGCAATCAAACCCATCTGATCACCACAAATAATTAGCTGATTAGTGATAACCATAGAAATTCAGTTAAACCCGAAAAGGGGGGTGCTTTTTTTTCCAGACCGCTGACCGACACTGGAAAGTGCATCTTTCCCATTATTTCCATAATCATGTCAAGATTTCATAACGAATAAATAAAACAGGAGTGTTCATTCATTTCACCTTTATCTAGTAACTATCGTATCTCAGATCTCTCTGTTCTCTTCAACACTGCAGTTGTCTGTTTATCGATACCTGTACCACTGTCAACAAATCTGCCAAGTGCCAACTGTCTGGCCATTATGCAGTAGCATAAAATGTTGTATTTTACAAGATATAGTTCATCTCAGCTATTAGTTTGAATGAATAATTGTCAAAACATCATATTTATATTATATTCCACCTTTTAATTTTAAATACCTTGATGTTTTATTTATTTATTGATAAGGAAAGCAACCCAAAAACGTTTTATGCAATTAATTTAAAACCACACATGTTTTTCAGTGTAGTTTGTTTGTGTATTTGTGTGTGACTGCGCGCAGTGTGATGTTGTACTAAATCACGTGATTAGAGGTATCAACAGAAATCGTTCCAGGGAGATTTAAGACAGCAAGCGGCAATTTTCAACGTAACCAAAAATTAGGGCCTTGGTGATTTATCATTATAGCATTTCAAAAAATTCTTATCGGATTATTCTTTTTCTGTTAGATTGAATGAATAATTGTCAAAACATCATATTTATATTATATTCCACCTTTTAATTTTAAATACCTTGCATGATACCCCACAGTTTGTACACAATTAATTTAGCCACCTTGTTCAGTGTTTGTAGTCTGCGCGCATATATTATATCAATATAATTTTGTGAGATTTAGTTAAAATTTTCAACGAAAAATTACCTTGTTGATTATGGCATTTAAAAAATTCTTATCGGATTATTCTTTTTCTTACTCTGTACGTTGAAATTATAAAACAATACATTTCCAGGTTTAAATTGTTTATCTAATTTAAATTAGGGGATATATTATATCAATATAATTTTGTGTACTTTAGTTAAAATTGAAAAAAAATACCATTTTGGATTTCTCTTTCATTGCAATTTGGCCATTTTTTTTTTTTTTTCAATTTTATTAGTTTACTTAATTTTAGAATCTCCAAATAAGATAACAAAAAATTAAGGTTTCAATTTTTACATCTACCAGTTGATCTGTTACTCACTTGGGTCGTTCTCTGGTGCTAGATTAAAAGTGTGAACTTTCAATAATAACTCCTGCCCATCTGCTCTTTGTTGTATGTTTGTGTAGCCAACCTAAATAAATCATAATTCATCATATGAAATCAAAAACATGAATTATTGTTTTTTTTATATACACAATATCGTCAATTAACGACATGACTATTCTATAGCTATGACGTAGAAAATGTAACGTGTAGCTTTTGTCCTGTCTGTCTGTCTGTTTATATCTGTTCGTCCGCAAAAAAAAAACAAAAAAAACTTTTAACCTTGCCTATAACTTTTGAAAGAGTGGGGATATGGCTTTTCACATTTCACAAGTGTATTCCTTATGACAAGACCTTTCTTCGGGTACCCACCAAATTTCTCCTCCCGGCCTCGACCTTGAAGTTTGGCCCACTTATACAAAAATACTTTAAACTTTAGCCTTGGTCATAACTTTTGAATGTTTTGCGCTAGGGCTTTAATTCATACTTCACTTATTTATTCGATGTGACAAAACCTTTCATTATGTATATAATTTTGGACCTTTTCACCTTGTCCTTATAGTTTGACCCACTTAAATGAACACTTTAATCTATGCCATTAGTCCATGAGCCAGGCCAGGAATTTTTCGGTATCGGTACCATCTTGGGTGAATAATTTTCATAGTTAATTTTTGAAGGACATACATCTCTACCTTCAGAAAATGTATGATAGCATTCAATTGCTTGTGGCTTTAATGGTGTATCAACCGTTTATATACACCATCCCAACTTGTACGTCTTTGAAAGAAGAAGGTTGGTTTTTCAATATGCAATTTCTATCTTATTTCGAATGGTATTTTCTTGAAAATTCTTTTGAACGCAGACCTTTCTATTACCCTTTTCAATTATCAATCAATATTGGTTCTGTAACGAGCCGTTTAAATTATATAGGAATATAATTCTTCCCTTGATCATAAATGTTGAAAATGCGATTTTGAAATTTTAATCAGCTGAAAAAAATTACTCCTGTGACAATTTTCACATCAAAAACATATTGGACGGTCATTTTCTCTAAAGAATTTTTATCACGTATTAGCATTTTAAAACAGTATTTCAGTAACATATATATATAACTTGATATCATAGCAAATCTTTATCCCTATCCTAAAAATGAAAATTGAAGAAAATTTCCCTTGATTTACCCTCTGGGTATATTCTTTACTTAACATAGATATTATGAATATGTCAGGCCTCAAGTAAAGCCTTTACGTAAATGTTTTATTTATTTAATCTCAAGTTAACCCTTTTCTGATAATGGACACTCTCTTGTATGTTCATCTAAGTTAAAAGTGTAATTTGTTATACATTTTTGACATCAAAATTTCTAGTAAGGAAAATATATATACAGTCATTTGTTCCAATATATAATTATGTGCTTTGTGGGCAGTGTCTCACGACTGCAATGGACTGAAGCCCCTTCCCTCCACTAGTCCGGGTAGAGAGAACTCGTACCCTCTTAAGGGAGATCCCTCTAGGAGAGGACTCTCTACACAAAGCGCTGACGGGTCTCAACCTCTGTTGATTGAGGGCTTGCCTACCTCTAACGCATGTAAAGACTGTGCACCGGCGGACTCCGTGGAGGATACCGTCATGGTTCAACTGAGAAGATGACGGACACAGTACGCACTGTGGAATGCGTGGAGCAAGGCAAGGCATCTTGGTCATCCGCTGTATCTGTCTCCATCTCCAGACGTCCTAACATGTCTTGCCACTGGACCTAGATGGTTGCAGGCGAGAGAGTGAGGTCGGCGACGCAAAACCCTTCTTTATTTTAATCAAACTCATCGTGCAAGTCATTGATCATCTTCCATCCCTTCTATCATCCACCCCAAAGCCCTGTGGCGACAGGCGAGGAACGAATGTGACAGGTGCGGGTTCACTGGAAGTCGCTAATCGCGGACCAGCACACCTCTTCAGCTTTTGAGTTCGGCAGCCACCTGTGCGACTGAGCAGCCCTTAGCAAGAGGAGCGGGTTATAAAAGGAATCCAAAACATTGCCTGCTCCAACCTTCCCTAGCCAGTTTACTGCAGCTGGTGGGGAAATAACAAAGAGAACTAGAAGAAAACAAAGATCATCGCACTGTACCTTGGATCGTGGAACGTTCGAATGCTTTTCGAGAGACATTAAGACACACCCCAGAGACGCATAACACTGATCGCATGCGAACTCACGAGATTACATCGACATCGCGGCTCTCAGTGAAACCAGGATGGATGGGGAAGGTGAACTGTGTGCGCTGGCTACACCTTCAATTGGAGAGGACGAGGAGCCAAGGAGAGATGAGAAGCTGGCGTAGGCTTTTACAATTGCTGGCAAGCTAGTCGGCGTACCCAAAGGAGTAAACGACCGCCTGATGACGATGAGACCCCCTCACTCGAGGAAAGTTTGCCACTATTGTCAGCGCATATGTTCCTACCCTGAGGCTAAAACAAGTTCTATGAGAACCTCCACAATGTCATCAACGCCATCCCCAACGCCGACAAGCTTGTCATTCTTGGTGACATTAATGCGAGACTTGGATGTGACACCACCACCGGGGAGGGCGTGATTTGGAAGCAAGGAGTGGGCAAGTGCAACAGTAACGGCTTGTTGCTTCTCCAGACCTGAGCTGAACATGGCCTTCTCATCACTAACACCGTTTTCTGCCTTCCCATCCGTAACAATACGTCATGGATGCACCCTCGCTCAAAGCACTGGCATCTAATTGACTACGTCATTGTCAGGAAGAGAGACAGACAGAAAGTTCATTTGTTCACCAA